CCAGTGACTATGTTTCCAACAGTGCGAAGAGCAGGAATCAGCACTGAAGGAGATGGGTGCCTGAACAAAAGTAAAACATTAAGAAATGAACCGAAAAATGTTAGTGGCACGTGCATTATTACATGGCTGAATTTGAGATGTGAGGTACTTACAGTAGAAGCTAAGTTGACAAGGTGACTCAGTTAGAGTTTTAACAGTTAGAGGTTAGCTTAATTGTTAGTTAATTAGTTAGTTTGAATTATTTGGTTAGGAACTGTGAATTGGCATTTAACCTTGGTAATAAATAAAAAGTGTCTGTGATAGTTATAACTAGAAATTAAAGGTTAGTCAATTTATATATTAGAAGTTAGTAGTTTAGGGTTATAATCAATTAATTTGAAGTAGAGGTAAGCTTAACTGTTAGCTAACTGGACTGGCTGTTAGAAAAGTTAGCAATTAGTTAGTTAATTAACTAACTAATTATGTTAGAGCAAGCTACTGAAAATGCTAATGGGAATTAGGTTATACAATTAGTAAAAGGGAACTAATTAGATCTTCTTGGTTAATGACATGATTAGAATGATTAGGGTAATGTTAGTGGTTTGTGCAATTAACTTGGAAATTGGTCTTAGTAACCAAAGGCAAACTGGTTAATGGCTTGGTAATTAGAGAAATTGTTGGAGAGTTAAGGGTTGGTTGCAAGTATATGTGATGTTAGTTACATTGATTTAGTTATTAGTTAAATCATGGCTAACTTGGAGTGTAGGTTAGTGGTGTGTTAACATTTGGTAAGAAAATTAGCAACTAATTAGGCCACTTGGGGCAGGTATTTGTGGTTTGTAAATAACTTAGGGTAGTGGTTTGGACATATGCTAAACTGGCTTAGACAGTTAGCCTAACAATTAAGGTTAGGGCAATGTGGCTTATGGTTTGCATTGCATGATGGATTAAGGCTAGCAGTAAGTTAACTTGGAGCATACTTTGTGTCTTAGTCAGCTGACAGTTAGGCTGGCAGTAAGTTAACTTGGAGCATACTTTGCATATGGTTTGCATTGCATGATGGATTAAGTCATATGAGATTGTGTATGGATGATATGCATGATGTAACGTTGATTGGCTTAAATATGTATTGTCATGACTTAGTATGATGGGATTGGCTATGCATGAAAGCTTAGGTGTGTTTGTATGTGTGGAATGACCTTGTCTTTATATGTTTTGAACCATGATAGTTAGGTGGATTAGTAGGATGTGTATGTATTGCTTTGGCATGGTAGGCTTTTAAACTATGCATTTAGATGTGTTGTTGAATTCCTTATGTTGTGATGATATGGTTTGTGTGAGTTGTTGATGTGTGTATGACAAAAGAGACTTATGCAATTAGTTATGTATGCTTTTATTGTTGTAAGGATGGCTGTTGCAAGCTTGGCATGATGAAAACATAAAGTCTTGGTCATGGCATGTTCAGATGAAGCTTGGAATGTGGAACTTGGTTGTTATTAACTTCTTACATAAAAATGGTTATGAGTTATTAAATAAATTGGCTGAATGTTGTGATTTAATGGTTATTTTGTCCATGAATTATATATATTACGTGTTAGGAAATATGGATCGGAAATGGATGTTTGCTAGTCGAGCGTCAAAAGAATACGAAGATGGGGTTCAAGAGTTTGTTAGGTTTGCTATTGCTCATGCCGAAGACACTAGTAAAATCATATGCCCTTGCTTAAAATGTTGTTATACGGATGTTAATGCAAATGTTTTGGAAGATCACTTAATATGTAATGGAATTGATAAAAGTTATACATGTTGGATAATGCACGGAGAAAAAAAAAACCAAGTCAACAAAGAGGAGCAATGGGAGAGATAAATCAAATGATTTTGAACAAGATACAAATTATGAGTTTGATCGAGTTGAAGAATTTGTGAATGTAATTGAAGAAGATCTTCGCGATTGTCCTCAAATGTTTGAGAGGCTAGTAAGTGATGCAGAGACTCCATTGTACGAAGGATGTACTAAATTTACAAGATTGTCTGTGGTCTTAAAATTGTATAACTTAAAAGCACGCTATGGATGGTCTGATAGGAGTTTCACAGACTTGTTGACTCTGTTAAATGAGATTTTGCCTAAGAATAATGTGATCCCTAGTCGAACCTATGAGGCTAAATGATTGTTATGTTCTATTGGAATGAGTTATGAGAAGATACATGCTTGTCCGAATGATTGCATGTTATTTCGCAACGAGTATGCATCATTAGATATGTGTCCTAAATGTAGTGCCCCACGATATAAGAAGAAAGAAACAACTCCAGCCAAAACGCTATGGTATTTTCCGATAATACCAAGATTTAGGCGCATGTATCGTAATGCGGAAGATGCAAAGAACTTAACATGGTATGCAAAAGAAAGGGTTGTTGATGGAATGCTCCGACATCCTGCAGATTCTCCTCAATGGGCAAAAATTGATCATGATTACCCAAATTTTGGGCAGGAAGAAAGAAACATACGTCTCGCATTGTCTACTGACGGAATAAACCCTCATGGTATTCAGAGTAGTAAACTTACTTCTTGGCCGGTGATTTTGTTGATTTATAACCTACCTCCATGGCTATGCATGAAGCGCAAGTACATGATGTTGACTATGTTAATTTCTAGGCCCAAGCAACCAGGAAATGATATCGACATATACTTGGCTCCATTAATTGAAGATTTAAAGCATATGTGGGAGGCAGGTGTAGAGGTATATGATGAGTATAAAAAGGAATCCTTTCAATTGAGGGCTATGTTATTTGGAACAATCAATGATTTTCCTGCATATGGGAATCTATCAGGCTACAGTGTCAAAGGAAAACTTGCATGCCCCGTATGTGAAGATAATACGCATTCAATACGGTTGGATCATTGTATGAAAAATGTATTTCTTGGACACCGTAGATTCTTAAATACCAACCATCGTTTTCGAAAATGGGGAAAAGCATTTAATGGTGAATCTGAAGAAAAAAGAGCTCCTGTGCCTTTGACGGGCGATCAATTATACCAAAAGGTAAAGCTTTTGAGCACTAATTTTGGGAAGCCTTTTTCAAGTGAACTTGCCACGGGGGGATGGAAAAAAATTCAATTTTCTTTGAATTGCCATATTGGAAGTCATTGTATGTTAGACATTTCCTGGATGTGATGCATATTGAAAAAAATGTTTTTGAAAGTGTTGTTGGTACATTACTCAATCTTCCAGGAAAGTCTAAGGATGGCCTTAAGGCAAGGTTAGACCTACAAAGTATGGGATTAAGAAATGAATTGGGGCCAGTTAAGAGGGAGGGTAAGCGTACATTTCTACCTCCAGCAGCTCATACTCTGTCAAGAAAAGAGAAAAAGATCTTGTGTAAGGTTCTTCATAATGTTAAAGTTCCAGAGGGCTACTCATCAAACATTAAGAGTTTGGTATCTTTGAAAGATCTCAAATTGAAGGGTTTAAAGTCTCATGATTGCCATGTTTTAATGGAGAACTTTCTTCCGGTAGCTATACGTTCCATTTTACCAGAAAATGTGCGATGGACCATAACTAAACTTTGTTTTTTCTTCAAAGCTATTTGTAGCAAAGTTATTGACCCTGAGAAGTTGCCGACATTACAAAAGGAAATTGTTGTCACATTATGTGAGCTTGAGATGTATTTTCCACCTTCATTTTTTGACATAATGGTTCATCTCACCGTCCATCTTATCATGGAAATACAATATTGTGGACCAGCTTATATGAGGTGGATGTACCCGATTGAGCGTTACATGAAGATAATAAAAGGGTACGTGAAGAATCGAAGTCGACCAGAGGGTTGCATTGTTGAACTATATTTAGTTGAAGAAGCTATTGAGTTTTGTAATGAATACCTCTCTAATGTTGAGTCCATAGGGCTTCCAACGTCACGACACTCTGGAAAAACAATAGGGGAAGGGATTGGTGCAAGTAAACTAGTCACCATGTCAGACATCGAATTGGAGCAAGCACACTTGTATGTACTACACAATGCGGATGAGGTTGAGCCATATGTTGAAAAGCACAAGCAAATCCTTCAAAGTTTGAATCCTAACAGGAGTGAAAATTGGTTAACAAGAGAGCACAATAAAAGTTTTATATCGTGGCTAAAAGAACACATTTTTTCAGAATTTGCCAAAAATCCTGCTTCAATTTCCGAAAGATTGAGATGGCTAGCAAATGGTCCAAATTCACATGTTCTCTCGTACTCTGGTTATATAATTAATAAGTATACATTTTATACGAAAGAACATGATCATCAAAAGCACTATGCAAAATAGCGGTGTCACACTCGTAGCTGAATCTGTGCATATCTCAAGTTCCAAAGATAGAAATCCCGCATTTTCCAAATTTTCATATTTTGGGGTCATTGAACGTATTTGGGAGTTGGATTACTCATGCTTTCAAGTGCCTGTGTTTGGTTGCAAGTGGGTTGACAACAACAATGGCCTTCAAGTTGACCTTGGGTTCATGAAGGTCGATCTTAATAAAGTGGGGTATAAAGACGAGCCTTTTATTTTGGCATCACAAGCTCACCAAGTATTCTATCTCACTGATCCTGCCGATGAAAAATGGTCTATTGTGTTTCTAAGTAACAAAATAAATGATCAAAAAACTCAAAGTATAGATGTTGAGGATGATCCTTTCTTTAATACATCACAATCCCTTGAGGATGAACTAATTGTAGATGATATTCTTTATATGAGAAACGATCACAATGATGGGATTTGGATCAACCCATCATTTGTTGTATCAAGAAAACACAAAAGTAGGAATCCAATTACAAGGAAGAGGAAAAGGCCGACTTGAAAATTTATGGAATCACTTGAAAATTGTCTTTAATGTGAGTGAATAAAAATGTTGTTTAAGAATGATATAATACTAGCTCTTACTGTATAAAATTGTCTTTAATTGTGTTTTATGTTTGTCTGAATTTGCATTAGTAACCGCAACCACAAATATAATACTAACTCTTACACTTTTTACAGGTTAAATATGGTTTCTACTAACGATGAAGGTGGTCCGTCTAGTACGAAAACAGTTGGTAAACATGGTGTGACTCGGTTGCAAAAAATTCACAAAGCCAAAAGCAATGGAAAGAGGATTGAGGTAAAATAGCTAGATGATGATTATTGAGATTGATGAGACCTCTAATTGTCTTAGAATATTAGTGAGATTGATGATTATTTAATTGCACTCTAATTTTGTTATAGGTTCAATGGAATGCAAGAGGTCAACCAATCAAGCATAATAGCAAGAGTTTTGCTAGTTATATTGGTGTCACGGTTCGTCGGTTAGTTCCAATTAGTTTGGACAATTGGAGTGCGAAAGAAAATAAAGAGGCTGTAGGGGTTTATAAACAAAACATTTGGGATGAAATTGAAGTAACACACTAACTCAAGCTTGTTGTAAAATTTTAATTCCATAATTTATCTGTTTGGATGTTTAAGTAACCTGAACAGTGTTTTAATAAATTGAGTTGTTTGCAGAAAGCTTTTGTAATTGGCGAAGAACATCGTGCATATATATATAAAGAAGCTGGAAGGTTGCACAGGGCATTCAGGACAAAATTGGCAAAGTTCTATCTAAGAGATAGTAAGGGTGGTTTTGTTAAACATCGACCGGCAAAATATTCTTACTGTATAAAACAAGAGGATTGGGATAAATTTGTAGCTCAGCGTCAGAATGAAAAATTTCAGGTAATAACTTGTCATTGTTTATCTCTCCTCTTATACCTATGTAATAGCCTCCGATTCTGTACCGTCTGTAACGGATACTAGAGGGACAAACTGAATTAGATACAATAATATAATAGGTAATAAGAAATATACCGATGATATAATATCAATGATAATTGGCAAACTGAGAATTTTATTAAGTTGAAAAAATTCACTAATAATACACAAGACAAGTTTCCTCAAATGATCAAATAATAAAATTACACAAGAAGGTAAGATTATGCTAACACAGTTGAAATATAGATAGGTTTAGCTATTTATATGTGTAGCCTTTTATGGAATTGAACACAAATTTTCAAGCATGGTACTTCTTCTATAGAACACTTGAGATATATTGTTTTTTCCTCTCAAACTGATTAATGAATTGGCTTAACAATTGGAATCACCTTTGGAATAGGTTTGTAAATTGGAATGACCTTTGGAACAGGCTTGTAAATTGGAACATAAACAGGTTTAACAATGGGAATAATTGGATTTTTGAAGAAATAATGCTTATGCTTCAGAAATGATTCTGGCTCAACAACAGAGGGGGTAGGTTTGTGGAAAGGCTTATAGGTTGGAATGGGCTTATAATAAATTGGTTTCTTGTGAAAATATCCTTTGAGTTTGTGTTTTAGATAAAAATATCCAATGAATATTTCATCTTCATTGGGTCCTTGTAGGCTTGGCTTTGTCACCCCTTCATTTGTAAGCTTCCCTTCTGTGTTCACTTCATTCCCTACACAAGAAAGGAAAAATTACTATTACAAGAGTGACAACAAGTTATATATTCCTTTCAAGTCATATTTTAATACCATAAATTTCTATCTATTCTGTATGTACTACATCAATGATGCAGTGACATTACATTTAATAAATAATGCAATAATGTGATATGGATGAAATTGTGGGAAAGCAATATCAAAAGAGGAAGACCTCTAATTCTGCTCTTGACTAGAATTAATTCTGTTGAGTAGGATTTAATTGTTTATTTATTTAATTTTTATAAGTTAGCATAACAGAATTTTTAAATTTGAATTTAAGTAATTTTAAGTAAATTTAAATGATAGTAATTATAGTGCTTTTAATGCAGAAAGTTAGTAGTGAAAATCGAGAAAGAGTGTTAAATCCTCAACATCCTTATAGAAAGTCACGTTTAGGGTGTGCTCGTCTTGAAGCTGATATGGTAAGTATGTGTATAAAAGTAGTGTACAAGATTATAAATTATTTTTTTTAATTGCTATGTTAATTTGTCAAAATGTATATACAGGTAGAAGAGTCGGGAGAAGATGAGATAAATCGCAGTCAAGTGTGGAAGGCTGCCCGCGTCAATAAGAATGGGGTGATTGATAATGAGAATGTTCAAAGAGTTGTGGATCAGTGTGTAAGGCGAATGTTAATATTTTGGATCATTGAAAATATTTTGGATCTCGGTTAATTTTAATGAAAGTGTTCAAATTGATTTTCCTTTAACATGTCTTTTATACTTATCGATGTCAGGAGAAGTTAACAGAAGCTATAATTGAAGAAGAGAGACAAGACCTTGGTCCTACGGACATATTATTCGAGGCTCTAAATCTCCCAAACTACTATGGGCGTATTAGGAGTTACGGTTTTGGGGTATGTTCTAGGGACATATTTCCACGCCAAATTCGCCCCACACAAATGGACTTTCAAAGATTGTATGGCTTTTGCAACACACTCAAAAGTAGATTGGAGGTGCTAGAGAGAGAGAAGCTGGAGAGAGATAAGTTGGATAGAGAGAAGATAGAGAGGCAAAAAACCGAAGAAGTGGCCGAGAAAGAACAACCTGAACAAGTGTCAAACAACTTGCAACAGCCTGAAAAAGGGGCACAGGGCTTGCAACAACTTGAAGATGTGGCAGAGAGGCAACAACCTGAACAAGTTTCAAAGAGCTTGCAACAGCCTGAAAAAGGGACACAGAGGCAAGAGTTAAGTGATAAAGGTTCTTGCAACCCTGGATCATTCGGTAATATTCCCGAGGTAATTCAAAGCAGTTCATATATGTTTGTTTTGTAAATAATGATATTAATGTTTTTATTCGTATCTCATTGGTTTAGGGTCTCTGTTTTTATTCAGAGCTATTTTGAACAAATAACTCAACCAACCAATTTTGAACAAACAGGAAAACTAACAAAATTCCAAAATATAACACTGAAACAAAACCCTTAAATTATCAGTCAGCCTTGGAAACAGTTATATAAACAGGAAGTTCACTGAAACAGGAAACCCATAATGATGGAAGTTCACATTGGTTTTTGTGTGGATGGTGTGAGGTTATAGAAACTGGCGGTATAGTGGTGTGGCAAGTTGTTGCGGCTTGTCGGTTTTTACGTGATTGTTTTGTGAGAAGCTTTTTTCCATTTCAATGATGGATTAATATCCATTTGAATCTCATTGTGATGACCAATGATATTGTGATAACTGTGGGAATCACGGTTTTGTTTTTGTGCGTCAAGGATGTGTTTTGCAATGCTTTGTGGCTGTTATTATGTGTTGAAGGATGGAGTAAAAGATTAATGGTGTGTGTATGTTTTGCAAGTTTGGTTGTATTGCTGCCATAAAAAATTTGAGAGAGAGCCAGATGTTACGTGGTAGCATCCATGGCTTTGTATTTATGGAAAGGTGAAATGGTGATGAGTGTGTGGTTACTGTAGTTGTTGCAAAGAAGTGGAAAATATATGAGAGAGTATGACAGTAAGCGTGTGAATCTGGTGTATTGGCCTTTTGAAGAAAGAACACTGAAGGAATGGTTTCTGTTTGGTTGTGTGGCATTAGCATAGAAAAATGATCTTTGTGTCGGTACAGTCAGTGTCAGTACAGTCAAAGCAGTTCATATATGTTTGTTTTGTAAATAATGATATTAATGTTTTTATTCGTATCTCATTGCAGGGTCTCCTTCCTGTTAATATATATTTATCATCCCCGAGTCGGTGTTTGGTTGCTCGTGGCAAACTATATAACACCAAAGGTAACACAGTGCACGGCATGACGTTACCACCTGGATATGTCAAGGTTAATATCGAAGTTGCTATTGTGCCAAATGCTCAATTGCCTATATCTGTTGAAGGTGGTGATGTATCGATGGTTGGTCAGGCAATAGGAACAATTGTGCCATGGCCAATGAACCTTCTTGAATTTGTTGCTGAACGTGAAAAGGTAAATTACTTATTATTTTACTTGCTTGATCGTTATTTGTTTTATCATTTGATCACTAACCTTAATTAATAAAACTTTTTAGAATCCTGATCAATCCCAAAACAAAGTTAAGAATACCCAACGAAGTGTTGATTCTGTTTCGTCACCTAACAAAAGCAACATAAAATTCAAAATTGAAGAGTCTCCTAGAGTTGGTGGTTCAACCAATCTTGTAAATTTACCTTTCCTTGATATGTATGTGAAAAAGATGATGAGGGTTGGATCGTTAATTCAAATAAAAATGGAGGAAAGTATATTTGGTGAGGAGTTTATAGAGCATCTACGTGTAGAGGGTATAAAAGAGATTCTTGATCACAATTGGTTAAGTGCCTCTGTTATCACTGTATTTTCCAGGTACCTCTATTATTACAAATTTCCTCTAATCTGACAAATATATTAATATTTACATTGTTGACAAATACATTAATACCAATTATTGTTGTTCATTTCTAGGTATTTGTATGACAAGTTTATTAGTCCAAATGGATTAATAAATAAGTTCTCCTTCATATCCCCACATGTATCAAGGGAGGATAATCTAGGAAATGCTATAGCAAAAATACTTCTGAAAGATGAGGAGTATTTCAAGGATAAGATGATTCTTGCACCTTGCAATCTAGGGTGAGTTTTCTATTCAAAATGTTATTAAATTTATGAGAAAAAACTATATAAGTATATTATATGCATCAATATTATATGTATTGCAATGGAAGGTGAAGTATCCAAGTTCTGAGTGTATTGCAATATTATATGTGTTGCAGGAAACATTGGGTCCTACTTGTCATCAATCTCGATGCTGAGGTGATATATTACATGGATCCGTTGAATGGTGAACCAACTAAACATCAAAATTTAAAAACCAAGTTTGAGAAGTAAGTATAGACTCTTTTAATTTAACATTTATATAAGTATTCTTAGTTATAATAATTACTCATTTGAAGTTAATTTCATTTTGTTAGTGCATTGCAAATTTATCGTGCTAATAGTAACTCTAAAGTGCCTAAAGTCTCCAAGTCAAAGAAAATTTCATGGTCAAAAATTCGGGTATGTCCAAATTAACGTTATTTTAAAACAATTATGTAGAGTAAAAGTAATATATGTAAATGTTTTTTTGCAGTGTCCCCGTCAAATTAATAGCATTGACTATGGATATTTTGTAATGCGATTTATGAAAGAGGTCATCATGGAAAATGAAATTATGATCCCCATAAATGTACTTGATTTTAATTGTTAAAGCTTTGTAAATTAATGTAACTTAGTTCTAATACAATTGTTGATGTTTTTATATTTGAAGTACTTTCCTGACCACAAGTGTCGTACCTACTCTAAGGATAAGTTAACTGAGGTCAAAGATGATTGGGCTACCTATATGGTGGATGATATTTTCGGTAAGCCTACAATATATAGATACTTAATACCTTACTTGCATATTAAAAGTTCACTAGTGCTTCAAAAGTTTAAGTGCTAACTAATTGTGATCTCACTACCATTTAGTCTTAATTAGTGTACTTAGTTTCTATTTACTTTTTTTATTAAGTTGATTTTCTTTCTACATGCTAATGTCATTGAACCACTTATCTTTAATTATATATTAATATTTTGTTTTCAGGTTTTTGTTTTCTGATTATTGTACAATACATAATCAATATTCTTTCTATGATGCAGGAAAACAAGAAGCAATGGTTTTGCCTAGCTAGCTAGCAAACTGGTTGTATCTTTGGATGTAGCAGTGTTTTGATTGGCAAAGTGGTTACTAGCTAGTTGATGTTGTTTTTGTTGTCCTTAATTTTCTTGTTTTTTTAGATGTTTTTTTTCATTAGTTTAGAGAATATACCTAGCTAAGTGATTGTACTTTTTGTTTGGAATTTGGTTTGAAGTACTCTTAGCCAAATTAATAACTACATGACAAAATACTTTAGTTGTGTTTATAAAATATTTTGGTTTGAAGTATTCTTAAGCCAAATTAATGGTATCACGTACATTTGTCATTATTATTTTAATTTCAAGTATTTTAGCTACTTAGTTATAATTATTTTATGAATTCTAATGTTGTAAAATGCAAATGCCATATATATATATATATATATATATATATATATATATATATATATATATATATATATATATATATATATATATATATATATATATATATATATATATATATATATATATATATATATATATATATATATATATATATATATATATATATATATATATATATATATATATATATATATATATATATATATATATATATATATATATATATATATATATATATATATATATATATATATATATATATATATATATATATATATATATATATATATATATATATATATATATATATATATATATATATATATATATATATATATATATATATATATATATATATATATATATATATATATATATATATATATATATATAATGATTTGGTATAAAAAAAAAGTGTATTAGAATAGGGTTTTGAAGAGAGCATGCTATAATAGCGCTTTGTCAGAAAGTGCTATCAAAATTTAAGCAATTTACCGGTATTTCAATAGCGCTTTGTTTGAAAGTGCTATTAAATATGTGTCTTATAATAACACTTTGTTTGAAAGTGCTATTAAATATGTGTCTTATAATAGCGCTTTATTGGAAAGCGCTATTAAATATTTGTACTATAATAGCGCTTTCTTTGAAAGTGCTATCAAAATTATAGTAAATTAACGGTGCTATGATAGCGCTTTATTGGAAAGCGCTATTAAATATGTGACTTATAATAGCACTTTTTCAAAAGCGCTATTAAATACAGGTACTATAATAGCGCTTTTTCAAAAGCGCTATTATAGTACTTGTATTTAATAGCGCTTTTAAAGCGCTATTAAAAATGTTATTTTACAATAGCGCCTTGATTAATAGCGCTTTAAAGCGCTATTAAAAAGCAAAAAAAGCGCTATTAAAAAACTTTTTTGTAGTAGTGCATTTTATTTTCTTTTAACCCCAGACCTGTAGAGTAGATAGAATAACAATCTTTTCGACCGAAAACAAGCGTGGATCCCGTCGAGTACGACGGACGTGAGGGGTGGTAATACCTTCCCCTTGCGTAACCGACTCCCCAATCCAGGATTTGGTTGCGATGACCATTCCTTTCCCGTCTTTGCGGTAGGTTTACTTCGAGCGTTTCCTTTCCCTCCTTTGGGATAAATAACGCACGGTGGCGACTCTTCTGTTCAGCCGGCGCCGATTTTCGCAGTAGCGACACCGAGCTTTCAAGAAAATCAATGAAAAATGAACTATTTTGTTAATTTCCTTGTGTTATTTCTTTACTGCTTTGGCTTTCATTTTAAAAGAAAAATGGAAATCTTAAAAAACCCAAAACAATTTTCTCTTTTGTGTGCTGCATTTGTCTTTGTATGTTTTAATAAATTAAGCCGTTCCAACGTGCAGTGATGTCCTAAAACCCATTGAATCCTATGACTTTTCATTCCCTTCTGACTTTGATTCACAAATATACCAAGCTGAAGATGAGGATGAAGATTTTGAAATCCCCTGATGAACTGGTAAAATTGGCACACCATGAGTACACAGAGTTTCAACCCTACAAAGAACAGGTAGAAGTCATTAATCTTGGCACCGAAGAAGACAAGAAAGAAGTCAAGATTTGGGCAGCTCTAGGGGCAGAAGTCAAGCAGCAACTAGAAAAACTTCTGAAAGAGTACGTGGATGTATTTGCTTGGTCCTACCAAGATATGCCGGGTTTAGACACTGACATAGTGGTTCACAAATTACCACTTCGACCAGAATGCCCACCAGTTAAGCAAAAGCTCCGAAGAACAAGACATGACATGACTCTCAAGATTTGAGATGAGGTGAAAAAAAAGATTGATGCGGGTTTCTTAGCAGTGTCCAAATACCCCGAATGGGTAGCCAATATTGTACCTGTGCCGAAAAAGGATGGAAAAGTCAGAATGTATGTGGATTACAGGGACCTAAACAAGGCCAGTCCGAAGGATGATTTCCCTTTGCCACATATCGATACTTTGGTGGATAATACGGCTCGTTTTGAAGTTTTCTCATTTATGGATGGGTTCTCCGGTTACAATCAGATTAAGATGGATCCCGATGACATGGAAAAAACTACTTTCATTACTCCTTGGGGAACTTACTATTACAAAGTTATGCCTTTCGGTCTAAAGAACAGAGATGCTACTTATCAAAGGGCCATGGTAACTTTATTTCATGATATGATGCATAAGGAGATAAAGGTATATGTTGATGACATGATTGCCAAATCTCAAAGCGAGGAGGACCATTTGGAACATCTTTTGAAATTGTTTAAGAGACTCAGAAAATATCAGTTGAGACTGAATCCAGCCAAGTGTACCTTTGGAGTAAGATCTGGAAAGTTACTCGGTTTCATTGTCAGTCACCGAGGGATTGAGGTAGATCCAGATAAAGTCCGAGCCATTCAAGACATGCCAGCTCCACAAACGGAAAAGCAAGTCAGAGGTTTTCTTGGAAGACTGAACTACATATCCAGATTTATTTCCAATATGACTCCTACTTGCAAGCCCATCTTCAAATTATTACGCAAGGACCAGACGGTTGTTTGGAATTCAGATTGTCAGCAAGCGTTTGATAAGATCAAGGGTTACCTACAAGAACCTCCGATCTTGATACCTCCTGTTCTAGGAAGACCGCTCTTCATGTATTTGACAGTGCTTGAGAATTCAATGGGTTGTGTGTTAGGTCAGCAGGATGAGTCTGGACGAAAAGAACATGCTATCTATTATTTGAGTAAGAAGTTTACTGATTGTGAAAGCCGATATTCACTTCTGGAGAAAACTTGATGTGCTTTGGCATGGGCTGCTAGACGCTTGAGGCAGTACATGATTTGTCATACCACTTTGTTGATTTCAAAAATGGATCCGATAAAATATGTTTTTGAGAAGCCTGCTCAGACTGGAAGGCTCGCCCGTTGGCATATGTTATTATCAGAATACGACATCCAGTATGTAGCTTAGAAGTCTATCAAGGGTAGTGTGTTGTCAGAATATCTCGCAGATCAACCAGTGGAAGATTATGAGTCTCTCAAATTTGATTTCCCAGATGAAAACATCATGTTAGTAAAAGATTGTGAAGAGCCAAGTCTTGATGAGGGTCCGCAGGAAGGTCTTTGGTGGAAAATGATGTTTGATGGTTCCTCCAACTACAGTGGGCATGGCGTAGGCGCCGTCTTAATGAATCCAGAAGGTGGTTACACCCCATTCACAGCCAGGTTGGATTTTGACTGCACAAACAATATTGCCGAATATGAAGCATGCATTCTCGGCCTCGAAGCAGCTATCGACCTCAAAATCAAATTTCTTGAAGTCAGCGGGGATTCAGCTTTGGTTATTTATCAGGTTACTGGAGAATGGGAAATTAGACATGAGAACTTGATCCCTTATAGAGCCTACATCGTCAAAATGATGGAGTGTTTCGATGAAGTCACTTTCAAGCATGTCCCGAGATCTGAGAATCACATTGCCGATGCCCTAGCCATGTTAGCCTCAATGTGGAAAGTCAGGGATGTCAATGATGCCACTCTCATCCGAATTGAATGCAAGACCGAGCCCGCCTACTGTCAGATGGTTGAAAAAGAAACTGATGATAAGCCTTGGTACCACGACATAAAGAATTACCTGTTAAAACAAGAGTATCCAGCAGATGCTACGTCACTTGACAAGAAAACTCTAAGACGATCAGCATCCAAGTTCTTTCTCAGCAATGATGTGTTCTACAAAAGGAATCATGATATGGTCCTGCTTAGATATGTCGATAGACGAGAAGCAGAGTTGTTAATGCAAGATGTTCACGAAGGAATGTTTGGTACTCATGCCAATGGATATGCTATGACTAAAAAAATCTTGAGGGCTGGTTATTACTGGTTGACCTTGGAAACCGACTGTATTCAATATGCCAGGAAATGTCACAAATGTCAGATTTATGCGGACAAGATGCATGTACCACCGACATTGCTAAATGTGTTGTCATCACCGTGGCCTTTCTCTATGTGGGGCATTGATATGATCGGGGCAATTGAGCCAAAAGCTTCTAACGGACACCGATTTATTCTGGTTGCTATTGATTATTTCACAAAGTGGGTTGAAGCCGCATCCTACACTAATGTTACTCGACAAGTGGTGGCCCGTTTTATCAAGAAGGAAATTATCTGTCGTTACGGAATTCCGAGCCGGATCATAACGGACAATGGTACCAACTTGAACAACAAAATCATGAAAGAGTTGTGCGATGACTTCAAAATTGAACATCACAATTCTTCTCCTTATCGTCCCAAGATGAATGGAGCTGTAGAAGCTGCAAATAAAAACATCAAAAAGATTTTACAAAAGATGGTGAAAACTTACAAAGATTGGCATGAGGTGCTACCATTTGCCTTGCATGGGTACATAACGTTTGTCCACACTTCAACAGGGGCAACCCCTTTTTCTTTGGTATATGGAATGGATGCGGTACTTCCTATTGAGGTCGAGATACCTTCTTTGAGAGTCATAATGGAAACCAAGCTTGAAGAAGCAGAATGGGTGAGAGAAATGTTTGATCAGTTGAATCTTATTGACAAGAAGCGCATGTCTGCAATGTGTCATGGTCAGTTATATCAGAAAAGGATCAAGAGGGCTTTTGACAAGAAAGTTCG